CCAAATTTAAACTAATGACACATTACCTCCTTCAAAATACACAAGAGGAGGAACCACTTGACATTTAAGTTGAGTATTTTGAAAGCTGGAAAGTGATTTCAAAAACTGCTTTCAAAATATAATTTACGGGTTTTAAATTTCACTGGATTTGTTAACAAGCCTACATGCATAAAGTTCTGGACCACCTGAAGAATAAGAAGTAGAGGGGATTTACTACCATGATACGGGCATACATATTAGGTAAAATCAGACTTTTAATCATTTTTTGACATTCATTACTCCCTTACTCAATTAATTTGTTAACTTTTGATACCGACTTAATTATAGAAGAAGCCAAGTTCACGAATGTGACTGCTGCGATGACCATTTTTAAACCTACAAACATAGAGTCAATTTGCATTTTTCATTGATATCATCCATACTCTGGGTTTAACCTGTGGTGTACAACTTCTCCGCTGGCATAATCTTATTGCATTGGTTTGTGTAATTACGCAACCCTTTAAAGTATGGCAGACCGTCGAGCTTTCCTTAAATACGGAAGGATAAATAGTACTTGGACATAATAAGTAATATCGATGTACAGAATAGCCTGTGGAGGGTGGACGACTGGCACGGCCCAAATATCATGCCACCTTAGCAGAAGCACAAAGACGGAGTCATAAGTGTCTGTAAAACCATAACGAAGAGTTAAACAAATACTTCTAGTAGGATACAATCATCCTCGCCTTTTGAGCGTCGTCCTTGGAGCTCCCATTGGTTAACTTCCCTTGTTGGCCATCACAGTGGCCGGTGCTGCCAGAAAAACCTACACTAATCAATCGCATTAGTTGTTGAATTCACGTGCAGCTGTTAAGAAGTTTGACTCCAATGTCACTGCTCCCCATGTCAATCCTACTGGATTTGGAGATCCAGCCTGTTTGGGAACTCGGGTCTAAAAGCGGTCATTTAATGAAATCCGGGATTTAATATTAATTTCGCGGAGATAAGCTGACGCGTCCATTCCCCCTGTCACTTTATTCTCACTCCAGTGCTGCTCAGCCATACACTATCTGGCTTCTATCATCTAGCAGAGAGGTGGAGGAGATAACCCGCGGTCACTTAACTAGCATATCTATAGGAGTACCGCAAACAGCTTCGCAACATCGATTGGGCTTTTAATAACAATCTTACAGAACACAGTACTTGAGAACTTACCGAAGGTAGATGTTATTTTCAATCCTTCCGTAAGGAGTCATCACATATTTTCCTATTCACGTTAGGGCTTATTAATAGATCTCAAGGTAGCTGTCCCATGTCATCGAATTCCACCTTTTGTCTCCTTAAATACACTGCCTCAAGTCGTCCCTGAAGTCGAAAGAGGTTGCAATACTACGAAATAGAATGCATCACCAGAGTACATATGGAATTAGGGACCGTCGGCAAGGCCCAAGGTCATGGCACCAAGTGGAATCACAAAGACCGGGCCTTACATGCCCACGAACCCGTAACGAAGAGTTAAACAAGTGTTTGAAATGCAAAACTTTCTTAGTTCTTCAGTTTTGGAGTACTCAGATATTTGGTAATTCTATTCGTTGTTCTCTGGGTTTTGAAAAGCAGCAATTTTAGCACTTTATCCAACAATCTCCATTTGTCATGGCATTCGTTAGGTCTCTTCTAAGCACAATGCAACATTTTTGGTCTTACTAACAAAAAACACATTTACATATCAGGCAGTACTGATTTCAGGAATCACGCTTACATTAAAGCGGGAAACAGTCGGTCTGCTCTATATGATTTTATGATCAGAAATTGAGAATTGACAACTTTTCACTACTAAGCACTATCATACCAAAGACTTTCTTTTTATCTAGGTGAAACGTTTGTTTCGGGGCTTCAACTAAAAGAAGATTCGCAGATCACCGTCCCCTACCAAGCATCCCACTGAACAGGATTCCCCGTTGGGCACATTGGCCCTAGGCCCTTACAGTGATATGGTTACAACTCGTTCGCTATAAACGAACCTGAGATGCACTTCAAGGGCAGTAGTGTTAGCATTGTTGGCATTCCTGATATGACATCGACGATGGCAAAATTGAAACCTCCTCAATCATCTTGCATTTTCTGTGTTTCATTTCACACCTTAATTCGCTTCCAAACTGCAGATTACTAAGCGTGTAGGAAAGCGCTATTTCGAACCTCTGTGGCTAACTATGTTAAGGTGTTCAGCAGTTGTGCGGTGAGAGAGCTTCCCATGAAACGGCAGTCTATTAACCGTCACGATACCATTCAAAACAACCTCTTGCAGTGGCCGAGTGTGTGGCCCTCACTGAAAGCCTAAAATATGCGCAATTCGGTTAATATATCAGTTGTTTTATCTGAATAATCTTCAAAATTGAAATCAAATTTATTGCCTATTTGAAAACCAGTCGCGAGATATATGCCAATCAGTAGAAGAGATGTAGGTATCGAAACATTAAGCTAGAAGTGAAAATTTAGATGTGGAGACTGGAATTCAGTCACAACGTACAATTAATCTCTCACAAAAACATTGGAAGGGATGCATAATCTGTTCAAAAGAAGTCGTTTAATATTTTCGCCACTTCGGACCCCTACGCCTGGTTCTAGACTCTCGAATTTAGAAGACTGGCTGGAAAATGCAACATGTGATATGAATAAGTGGAATTTTGCTACTGATCAAGAATTCTTGAGAGAATTGGCGCCTGCTTGATCCTGGCGGACCAATGGGGCCTCCTCAATCATGCCTTTGATTCAGTCTGATGTATTCAAGCAGACGTGAATTGCATAGCCGGCCCTTTGCCTTCGGCACCGTCTTCAATACTTCCCGTTAAGTTTAACTATTTGTACGGAATTTCTGTCAAAACTTCTTTAATTTGCATGAACACTTCTTTCTTGCATCCCAACTGCGGTGTTCTTCAAAAGGACGCGTTCCATTTTGATTAACCACTATTGGCTGTTCATGGATCTGTGCATTAGAGACCAAGTAATCTGTTAATAAGATGACCTTTATCACCCGAAATCCATCTTCACTGCAAGAGTGTTGGAATATAGGCCAATGAAGCTGCACTAGGCCTTCAACTTGGCAGACGTCAGGTTGGCTGCCATTGCCGTAATACACTTTTGTCCGCCATAAAATTGACATTGGTATTCAAGCGCCGGGTTGAAAGTTTGTCTCAGCTCTTCCTTCCTCCGTGGTGGGTACTCTCGATTTTTTTGGGTTGACATTTCCAAAAATGGCAAGAAACTCCTAGCTAATGCTCTTATTCCGCTGCAGATAAGTATTTTAAATGGCCAAGTGACAATAAACTAGTGGACGGTTGCCCTGTACGCGAGACGACAGTGATCTGGGTATAAATCGTCATCCTGCAGCTGGACGCCCTTAGTGAAAGCTTTGAATAACCAGATTGAAGTGCCCCAAAGGGATTTTACAACACAATAAAGATAAATAAAACCAAAATCCCCATTTGGCAACTTGACGACTTTGATGAAATGAGTATTTTTCCTCTTCAAATGGACAAATATTTAGCTTCATTTTGACCTTTAACATTGAGCAACGCACTGGAATCCGTATTTTTATAGCTAGAGAGTTTATCTTTGCTGAAATCGAACAATTAATATCAGCATTGTTTGCAGCAAACAGGATGCAAGGCTGGTTTTCTCTTTCACTCAAACTCTTCTTCATGACCTTTCAAGGGTACCTGCGTTGTCTCATGGATTACTGACATCCGTGACATTAAAAGAGCCTCCAAATTCGGCCTCTCATCATAACGTAAACACATTAAATTCATTCTTCTTAACACTTGCATTCTTCAGACGAGAAGACTAGCGAGTCATATGGTTTGAATTACTGTAAAATATTGTTATTCTTTAGGAAAAGGTGGCTGAGAAACGATTAAATGATGGACCTTGAATTGAAATGACTCATACTGAAAAAAACATCTGCATAGTGCAAAGTGCTGCTGCTACTTACTTATCCTTAAGTGTTTAAGATGTTTGCCATAGTAAATCTGGAAGGATTGTGTCATAGCAGAAAGGAACTCGACAATTGGAGGTGGTGTACGACAAATTAAACCACGTCTGCGCCACCTGCGCGTTAAACATCCCGCTCAAATTATTCCTCATAATCTGTAGGAAGTATTGCATATCCATCTCAACTCTTGAGACTGCATCAATCCAAATGAACTTGCCATCTATACTGTAAATATTAAGGCAATTCTTGGTAAGCACTTTTGCACCGTTTGACGAGGAGAATTGTAACGCAACGTTTAAATCTGGCGTTAGTAAGCACTCCTGTTTCCGACAGGTCCATGTAGAACAGAACAAATGCTACTTGTGATTGTATTATCATGATAGTGGCCCCCAGCTCTTCGTCTGTTGGCAGCACTCACAGTGCTGTACCGGTAGCAGCAGGAAGCAAGCTCTGCTTTTTATTCCTGCATGCAAAACGTTAACGTGATGGAAGAAGGTCATATGCTGCAGGTAGGAGAATCTGTGAAGACCCCCTACCTTCGCCAACCATCTCACTCCCGTGTTCTACAGGAATTCCATCAGCAAATGAAGCCAAATTAACCTTGAATTATTATTTGAAGCGTTCATTACAAAGCCGTTTACCCGCACCTGCGTTCCAACAAAACTATTCTAAACACCGCATTTAA